CACACACACACACACACACACACACACACACACACACACACACACACACACACACACACACACACACACACACACACACACACACACACACACACACACACACACACACACACGTCAGGCGCGCGCGTCGCGCACACACAGAGAAGAGAAAGGGCGGTAGCGGGAGCAAGGTATATATGAGTGTAGAGAAGCGAGAGAAAGAGGCGGGAAGATTAAAGAAAAAGTGAATAGAGAGCAGTGGATGAGACAGCAATAGACAGAGAGAGCGAGCGAAGAGAAAGAGAGAGAGAGACGAGAGAGCAGAACGGAGAGAGACAAGAGATGGAGGGGAGGGGACGAGAGAGAGAGAAGAGAGAGAGAGGAGGGGAGAGGGGAGAGGGTGAGAGAGAGAGAGAGGAGGGGGGAACGGAGGAATGTAGAGAGAAATAGGAAATGTCGCGTCACGGCCACACTAACCAGACCGTGGTCGCTCAAACAGTAACCGAGAGGAGAGGGAGATGGGTGAGTGGATGTAGACACATCGGCCGAATAGCTTATAATCTCACCCGGCTTCGTTATAGTATTGCTCAACACGCAGCAAATTACACTAACTTAATTACGCGTATATACGTATAGTGATATATCAACATGATGCGTAATATCTAATCAGGCAGCAGTATACCAGCACCTATCAACTAAAAGCAATGCTGTCGCAATAAACACGGTTCTACCATGATTCGCCGCGGTAACCAACACAGCATTCCACACCGACACGTTCGGACCACGACGTCGCGAAACGTCGGCGAGTCAGCTGACAGCAAAGTTGCGCACCGGTGTGACTTCATCTTAATTACGTCATCGACGCCGCGTCTCGGCAAGCAGCGAGCGCGGACGCTGTCGGCTCTCCCCTCTTCACACGCCGCGTTCGACGTTACCGAGTTTGCGCGCGCGCATAGCCGTCATGTTAGCCTGCGTCAGAAAAGCCGCGACGTCGGCGTATACGATGTGTAATTAGCACCGACCTCGAAACGTCGGAGAGCGGCCGACAAACGCACGCGCACTCGCAGGTACGCACACATACATACACGCGCACGCATGTACGCGTCGCGTCGATGACGCATTTCGACTCATCGTGTGACAATGCGTCGGCGACGTGACGTCACTCGACGAAGCGACGTCCTTGAAACGGCGTCGAGTGAAATAATTGCGAGAGGCAATAATTGCAGGCGCGATTAGCAGTGCAGGAAAGCACGAGGACGTGTGCGGTGCCTAATCGACATCTCGCCAAGGTGTTGTCTGGCGCTGCGTACACGCGCGCTGTCTGGCGCAGTAGTACTTCTGGCCTTTCATGCGCGTACACGAGATTACGATGACAGCCGTTCGCGTCTTTTGCTTCGATTCGATCACAGGCGTAGTTTACACGCCAGGTCTTCATGTTTTTCGGTAGCGGTCGGTAGTCCTTATCGCAACGTGTGGGCCGACCGGCTGGTACTTCAGCGCGTCCAAACACGGACGTGTTTGTACTGGGGTAGGAATGTTTGCGTTGCCTTGACGTGCATCTTGAGTAGCTCGTATCTATAGCGAAAACAAAGACGACTCACGTCATACGAAGTACTCAAAACGCCCTGCTCTATCTGTCCCGATATGATAGCATCACTGATAGCATCAGTTCCGTGGACAGTTGGCCGTTGAGCAACAGTGCGTCGTGTGTTTCATTTCGAGCAGTATCGCACTGCTCGAAATGAAACGCACGACGCACGATAGCGAGCAGGATAGTCAGACTGGGGTCAAGTAAGTGATGGCGAGATAGCGTGCAAAAGGGGCGTAGAGTATGTATAGTAGTGCGTGTGTACGCACGTGTGAGAGGTAAACGAAGTAGGTAGCCAAATAAGCAGATAGACGTGACTGCGTAGTAAAATGTTAAATGTCATAAGCGTGACACGCCCTGAAAGAACTAGTAGTGTCGTTACCAACAGATAGCGCTACACTGTACTATCGCTATACGCTACTCCATTGCTGCTCCGTTTGCTATCTATAGCCAGGGATCGCATATTGAGTTAGTATCATCGTTTCTTAAAAATCGAAGTATTTGAAAGACGGGCCTCCTAGGAGAAGCTATCCCCGTGCGACAGTATTCACTATTGTAACGTGAGATGTGTGTGGTGGGTATACGTAGCAGGAGGTGGCAAGCCAATACGCGAATACGTCCTTACGCGTAATTAGTGTAATGGTTGCTCGTGTTTACTCTGTTGCAGCCTCCAGACATAATTTTCCTCCAGCTTTCATTACGCACTCACGTTGTTGATATCCACAGCCACAAACACATCCGCTTTTCTTCGGGTCTGTTGACCTTTACATTTGCCCATAACAGCTTCGGTGAATAAGACGTCCAGAAAGGTGCGTCCAGAAACAGGTTGAAGACATCTACCGTGCGCGCGCTTGTAGTGGGCCAAAATAATTGGCGCTATAATTGCGAATTTCCGAGAAGGACGCGAATCGTGGGAGGGGGGATTAAGGGGAACGAAGGGAGGGATGGAGGGGAGCGAAGGGAGGGAAGGAGGTAGGGGGAGGGGGAGGGATGGAAGTAGGGAGGGAGGAAGGGAAGGATGGATGGGAGAGAGGGAGGGAGGAAGGGAGGGAGGGAGGGAAGGAGGGAGTGAGGGAAGGAGGGAGGGAGGGAGGGAGGGAGTTAGGGAGGAATGGAGGGAGGGAGGGAGGGAGGGAGGGAAGGAAGGGGGGAGGGAGGGAGGGAGGAA